TCTTTTAATGATTCTAACTCATAGGTTCGAAACCTACGCACTTCCATGTTATAATGATGTTGTTGTTATTGTGTTTCTCCTTTTTTAATTAACTTTATCTTTTGTTTGAATATTTATATTTTTTTTAATTTCTATTTCATTTCCTTCCTTTTTTGTTACTTTTTTATTTCATTTTAAAAATCGAATTATTTTAACAAAGTGCGATTACGAAATAATAATAATATACATGGATCAATGTAAACACACTTTATTTCATTATATTTTTTACATTTTTAATAATGCGCTTTCCTGACGTTTGACATTATCCTCAAACTTTTTACACAAGTGCATGCCAACCTGTTTACAAAAATATTCTATCCCACACATTCGAAACTATTTGAAAATAAGAAAAAGATATATAAAAACTCTCAGATGTCATTATACCTATGATTCGAACATGTAAAATCATGAATACAACACAGACACGGACGCTCTGCCTACTGCGCTATCAAGACACATGGAAATGCCTCGTTTAACTTTATGTTTTATTCATAAGGATTCAATCTGCCTTACCTATTTTTCGCATTGTTATTAATCTTTGTCATGTAAACAAAGGCTCAAGTTATCATCCTTGGACAGTACCAATGAATTTTATAATCACTTTATAACGGTAAACCTTGTATGATGATTGAGTACAATTAAATCAAGCGGACCGAATATAACTATCCAGAATAGTATTTTAAACGCACCCAGTGCAGAAAACGAAATATTGAAAATGCTAAACAAGTGTAACAATTCAAAAGCAGCAACGCCGCAAGATTTCATTTATAATAATGAATATGTTAAAAGCACTAAAATAGAGAAAAAAAGAATCCCTAAAGAAAGTCGTCCGAAAACAACAAAATTGAAAATGTTGCAGGCTCGATTTGATTGAGCCTGTTCAGGGACGGTATTGTCCTGTGCAAACTACAATTTAGGTACATTATGACACTAATTTACTGTAAAAATTTCGATAAAATTTTTGATAGTGCGATTTTACCTGGTCTGTTACAGGGTATATTTTGTGTCCAGTCATCAATTAAGGTACGGAGCCCCTAAGGTGACATTTTCGACACTTTTCCCCTTGCATTTAATTCGTTTTTACGAAATATTAATTCGTAATTACGAAATATTAATTCGATTTAACGAAATCTTATTTAAGGTCACTGTGAGCTTGACAAAGAACCTACTAATCTCACAAAGGGGTCAATTACAAGTCGGGATCAACCATGCGATTATAAGTCGAATGGATCAATCTTGCGATTATAAGCCGAATGGGACCGCCTCCACGGTCGAGGGGTTAGAGTCGATGACTTCTAATTCAGTTACCTCTCTGGCGTGGGTTCGATCCCCGGGAGATGCTTTGGTAGTTTAGCACGGAGCATTGTCAAATACATGTTCCTATCAGCAATGTTTTAATTTTTGAGGCAATTAATCTTTTCTGACACGTTTCCTTAAAAGAAACATGCCATATAATTACTTTCTTTTATCATATACATTAGTAAACCTAAATGGGCGGGGTGGGGGTGGCTCCAGATTTTCACTAATCTAATCAATTTTTTTCCTTACAATTTATGTATGGGCACCATGCGATCATAAAATATAATATTTTATTTCAAAACTCAATAACATCGACAAAACGAAACAGAAAAAAATGTTCGTGTTTGGATATGAAGCACAGGACCCCAATTTTAACAAAATTATCTAAGCGCGTGTACTATCATGGCTGTGGCGGCAACGCTATTAACATTATATGCTATTTTGGTTTTGGAGTGATATATGTGGATATATTACCTGCTAAGATTTTATATCACCCGAGCCGTTAGGCGAGGGTGATATTTTATCTTGGCAGGTAATATATCCACATATATCACTCTAAAACCAAAATAATGATTTTATTACCCTTTCCCTGCCGAGTAAGACGATGATAAAATAAATTATTGCTGTTTCAAATGAAACGTCTAAATAAGATTCCCTTTAGGGTACCCCTTCACCACAACATGACGTCACATAAATACATGACGTATTTGCTTTGGTACCTAACGAATGTAAACAAGAGAAAAGGAGTAGTCTGTTGAAGACTATTTTTTGTAATTTATATCAAGCTTTGACGAGGTCATATTTGTTTTCAATACTGATGAATATTTTTAACATTTCTCTATTTTGGTAAATATATTTCATTTGGCAGTTAAAACGTGCTTGTATATTGGAATTTACACCGCGTGTAATCGAACCGTACGCGCATCGCCACAGCGCATGTTGTTTACAACGTGGGGTACCCAACGGGAAAATTTAGTGTGTATAATACCCGTCTGGCTCGGTAATATCAATTTCTTTCGGGTGACCAATATCCAATCAAAAAGGAGGAAAAAATCTATATATATACAGTAATGTTAAGTTATAAAACTTTGGGAGAAAAAAATCACTATTTATATTGCATTTACATGCCTTATATTTAGTCAATAACATAGTTTCGAAGCCTTCTTTATAAATATTACCAAAACTCTTTGAAACCCTAGGAAAAATTTAATTCGTTTTTACGAAATATTATTTCGTATTTACGAATTATTATTTCGTAATTACGAAATAACATTTCATTTATACGAATTAATATTTTGTAATTTCGAAATAATAATTATTCATAATTACGAATAGACATTTCGTAAAAACGAATTAATATTTCGTAAAAAACGAATTTATATATCGTAATATTTTGTTTGAATATTTAGGTCAAGGTCTTTGTAACCATGTGTTATTCTAATGTGTATCATGCTTTAGGCTACGCTCCCTTCGCAGCTCACTGAATACAGTTGAACATTCGACCGGTGCGCAGGAAAGTAGCTTTAGGCATATTGATGTTTTGTAGGCTTTAGTGATATGTCCTTATAATACTTTGTTTGTGATTTAATATTTTTTTTGTTATAGTTTTCATGCTTTAAAAATCGTTATATCGTTATAACTTTGACCTTGCAATTTGGGGTAGTCACCTGGTTGTTGTCTTCTTAAGGTAATTATGGCGATCATTTGTGATAAATATCAATAAAAATTAAAAATATGTCAGAAGTTAAAAAGTTATGAAGAGGACACAAAATCATTTGACCTGCCTGTGTAACCATAACCTTAGGGGTAGCAACCTGAATGAATATTGCGCTTCACACCATTTGCCCTTTATTCGGACCTTGGTGGTAGCAATCTTGATATACATTGAGGGTAGCAACCTAGATGTTGCGCTCTGCAGATTGTGTCAAATACTTTTAAAACCTTTTAATTGTCAATAAGTTATAGAGAGGACACGAAATATAATTGTTTTAACATTGAACCTTTTAATGTGACCTTGACATTGAGGGAAGTGACTTTGTTGATGTGCTCTGCACATGGTGTCATGAAAGTGATCATTTCCGTTTTCTTAAAAACACCAAGCAGTTTAAATGTTCATTGTGACTTTGGCCTTGACGGTAGCAACCAAATTATAATGCTCTGCACATCGTACTATAATGGTGCTCACAAGTTCTAAGTAATTTCATTTTTGTTCAGTCGTTAAAAAGTTATGGAGCGGACACAAAATGTAGACTTTTTAACATTTGACCTTTAATGTGACCTTGACCTTGGAGGTAGCAACCCAATTATTGCGCTCTACATATCGTCTTATAATGTTGATCACTTGTGCCAAGTTTTTTCAAAAAGAGTTTCAGCGGTTTAAAAGTTATGGAGCGGACACGAAAGTGTCCGGACGGACAGACAGAGGCACAGCAGACAGACGGACATACGGACTGACAGACGGAGGCTACCCCTTAAATATCTCCCCGCTTTGTGGAAGGGGATTCAAAAACTAAAAATGAAATACAGTTGACTCTCAATAAGTCAAAATAGCTTTTCTCAAAATTCCGCGTTAGTCGAAGAATTTCTAAGTCCCCTCAAAATTCCTTCTTTATTTTTGTATTTTAACTCCGCTTAGGTCAAATTTTGACTTACCGAGACTCAGTAGTCGAAAAGAAAATGTGGTCCCGTCAATTAAAATCCAACATATTTTCATCTCAGTTAGTCGAAGTGTGAAATCAAAGGTCGGCGACATCAAGGTGAGATGTTGTTACTCATTCACACGTTTCATAGTAATTTTAATTGCGGGTCATCATGTATTATTAACACGTCGTAAAAGTGGCTTTAGGACTAAATTGGTTTTAACAATGAGATAACTAAATTAAGATTTAATTAATTTAATTGTAATTAATGCTTATGAAAATTTTGTGTCAGTTTTTAGGAACGTAAAAATGCAGAGAATCTTATTGCCGCTGTTGCTTAGGTGAATAATTTCGTCACAAACGCCCATTTACATAAAGAGTTTACAAAGCAGACTATTCTTACACATTTCTTTAAGAAAGTTGACTCGTGCCAGTCTGACAGATGTTAGTCAAATAACAGCCTAGGTATTTATGTGTGTTATCAACGTAAATGACATTTGTATAATTAATGTTCCGTCATATTGCATACATTAATATGTACTTTCGGTTCACGGTAGTTTCGTCCGATGATCAATTCACTTCAAATATTAGATAAATTGTTGTTGAGATAAATGTGTTATTTTATCAACTTGCTTCCAGATTGATATTAATGTTCATGAAATCTTTTTAAAATGTATTTATAGTTAATATATTGTGATATAACGAAACAAAGTAATTTACACAAAACAGCTTTTTAATGACACTTAAAATCCACTTATAAGCCCACACAGTAGAAATATGGTGATAAATCATTTTGTTTCAATGATTCTAAATAAGTTTTCATTGTGTTTTAAGTGACATCTTACAATATCTTTTCATCGTTCCTTTGTTTTTTGTTTCTTCTTAAGTGCTAAATCCTACTTAAAATTAGCTGTAACGAAGATAGAACAGAACAACTACATGCTCAAAAAATAACTTCCTTCAGTCGGTTTCGTATTAAACATTTTAAGAGAATTAATAGTTCATTCTATACAAAAACGCTAATATGACCGGACATATGATCTTTGCTTTTGTTTCCATAGCTGCTTATATAATACATTTTTTGGTGGCAACTGAAGAAATGTGTTCAAAATTTTCGTATGAAAAGGAAATAATTGCAAACATGCTTAAAATGGAATTGAAAGCTGAAAAAATGGAACAAGAAGTCAATAAAAGAAACGAAGATATTGTAACAATGCTTGACGCTCAGAGGAAGGAAATGGAGAAAGTTGCAAATGACTACAAAAATCTTCGAGATATTCTCGTAGTTGTGATGGAAAACAAAACGGCAGCAATTAACTCTTTTCTTGAGGACAACGCGATAAGCGTTTTAGAAGAAAAAATAGCAGGAGTTGATGATGCGTTGAAAGTGATGACCGAAAGGGTTGATGGTTTATGTAAAGGTAATAATATATAATATGTTTAATTAAAAAGCTAAACAAAAGTTATTTACTTTAAAGCTATTAAGAATCATCTTCTAGTAATGACAACACTACTAAGATTTTTTTCATATCTGAATGTACAACATAAGATAAAAAAGGAATTCCGTAACTTAGGTCAGAAAACTTTAAACGTAAATATATCAATAAATCATAACTATTATCAAAGATATGAAAACTTCTCGGGAAACAGAAAATAACAAAAATAACAATGACTTTATATATGTTTATTATATGACTATAATTGCTAGTCAATAGAGAGTGACACTGACCTCGATTGTAGGTAATATTGTTATCAACAAACACACGCGTTTAGTGTGGCTCTTAATTTAAAAATGCGTCAGTTATTTGAAACTCATCTTGTTTTTGAAAACTATTATGTTTTTAGAAGCTGCTGCAACAGAACTGACAAAGCCAATAATTGCATTCTCAGCGTATGTAAAGCCGACGAAAAAGTTACATATACGTAAAAACAAAATCATTGTCTTCAGTTCTATAATAACTAATGTAGGAAACGGATATAACACTTCATCTGGTAAATTTGTTGCTCCTGTCGCCGGCTATTATCTATTGTCTTGTAGTCTCTTATCTTGGAATGGCGAAGAGTTTTGGGCTAGTATTGAAGTAAACAACTCTAAGAAAGCAAACCTTTACGAGAAGGCCACAGATTCAAGGCATGGAATGGCGAGTCAAACAATCATTGTCGAGTTGAAAGCAAATGACGTTGTTACCATTAGTGCAATATATGCAATAAATATTTACGGGGACGGATACTCTACTTTCAGCGGAGTTTTACTTCATTAAAACTGTATACTGTATTGTGGCTTTTGAAGTGTTTAGATGAACATTTTATGTTTTATAAATCTCACTGAAATACATCATTTTTCTCGTAATGTATATTTATCTTTTTCAAGTTCTTAATTACATTAGAAAATCGGAAACGAGTGTTTATCCAAATTTTTTATTCTTTTATTGTACCATATGTTTCCCTGTAATCAAACATTTTATAATATTCAGATTAAATATTAATTTCTGTAGAACACGTTAACTTATAAATTATTCAAGCGTTATTACATTGAATCTAAATGTTTATCATCTATATTAAAGGCTACTTAACATACAATATACTTTACAGTAAATACGTGTTATGTTATATAATAGTGACATATTTATACCCAAATGAAATGTATTCTCATCTTTTACGATATAATCTCATGTCCAATAATCTAATTATTTCATATTTGTTGTAAAATACAATGTTTATTTTCATTTGCTATCTTTTCTTTTTCAATAGATAGTAACATAGCCTTTTATTTCTAATAACAAATATTAAACCACTCATATTTGCATGTCTTTATGTCATCTAATGGTGATATTCTAATTGTTATCCATTAATCTGATATGCTGCGTTCATGTATACGGAGCCCATTTAGCCAATTTGAAACAAAAATTCGAACTAAGATGTTAGAGCTTAGAATTTAGGGTACGTAACCTAGACATAAGATATTCCTTAAAAACACCATGTAAAATTACTAAATCTTTCCCGAAGGAACTAATGAACGCAAAGCACGCCGGCTATTTCGGCGAAAATATGTCTCGAAAGGTCCTAACTTTGTGTAGCATTTAGATAGTTACGAAAAAGCCACATATGGATTGTGCATACACGGGGCGATTGACGGGTACAATCAACGCATTTTATTTCTCTAAGTATCAAATAGCAACCCGCTTGCAGTGATAGCCTCATATTACTCAGACACTTTAAACGAATAAGGCATTGCCCGAAAGCCTTTTTGGTGCGATAGAGGAACTTTTGACGCTAGCATTGCTTCAAATATTTTTTTCAGATATTACGGCACATACTGCATATCAGAGTTTAAAATGTTAGTGTATGGATAAAGTGAAGTAAATCCTGGTGGTGACTATGTCAAGGTCAAGGTGTCATCGGTGGAATTAATTCTTCCATTGAACGCTGTGATTATAACAAACAGTGTACACATTGAATGCCTGAGATATTGTTTTATGGATCTGATCATTAGTGGAAAGAACACAATATTCGATCCCAAAATAATTTTGAAATACTTTACGGAAGACCTGATATATTTTTGCACCTGAAATCTATGACGGAAAAACTTTAGTCATCAAGTTGATCACGAAGAGTACAAATCTGACAGGAGCTTTATGGATAACCTAAACGGTTTAATTCTAACAAAACCGAGGTTGTTGTTGGATAACAGACGGCCTTTGACATCCAAAGATTCGTTAACACTGTACATTAAAGTTTTACAGACGATTGACGAGCCATTACAATGTTTGACAATGGACATGTAATTCCATTGGTTTCGTCTTGGCATAAGTCGTATAAAAACATTAAAATTCTAACACAAAATTGATTTGTTTCAAGGAAACGTTTATGAGGAATGTGTATTGTAGTCAGAACCTCAATAAATGACCCAGTAAAGTGTGTGTCTATTCTATATCAGATCACATACTTTTAAATTGTATGCATCAGTGGTCGATCCTTACGTGTTTCCATCTGTACCACTTAAGATTAAAAGGTCATTTAAATAAAAGGCATCTACTGCCTTAAATTGAAAGACGTTCATTTCTGTATTATAATTGGATGAAGTTATCATTTGTTTGATACTGACTGGGGTCAAATATATAGTTATCATGATGACCACAGTCGGTATCAAACTGCTGATAACTTTATCCAATACAGAAGTGCACGTCTTTCAAGTTAGGCATTGTTTACGTTTATTTACAAAGATTTTGTCGTATATACATGTAGTATTGAAATAAATCTCATTGAAATTGCACAATTGCTTGATGGTGTGACCTGCTTTTGGCTACAAATAGGGGAACCATAAGTAAATACGTAATTTATTGTATCACTGAATAGACACAATAGAATCCTATAAATGAAGTATATGTCCGTCAGATTGGAAAGTGTGCAAAAAATAATGATATAATCCATTTCGATTGTATTAAAACTGCATGTCATTATTGCGGCTACAATTCCCTTACATCAGAAGAACCATGTCAACAGATACATTTACACACAGAATAATTAGAACACGTGTGAATTATGTATGCCAACAGGTATAACAATGCTGTGCAGATAAAATCGAAGTATAACCAAGCGGGGACTAAGTCTCGGTCGACCAAAATAAAAGGTTTCAAAAGGTGGCCAAAGTAGGCCCATGGCAATATTTTTTAGAACTTGATTAAAAGAAAGTTCATACCACTTGCATGGTTATGTTATATATATGAGCCAAATGGTTATGTAACAAAAGCTTAATGTTTAAATAATTATAATAAAATGGTGCATATTGTTGAATGTAAAATGCACATATACTCATGTACGTTATTCGTGTGTAAAAAGTTTACTTTTATAGATTAAACTCTCAAACGAAATAGAGACAAAAGACATATGCTATGCTTAGAATCATTGTGAAGAAATAAGCTTGGAAATTAGAAATACAGAGTCACGTAGTACTTTTGTAATTTTTCGCATCTTACGAAATCTTCAAGCATGGACATGTTGAAAGCACTTTTCAAGACTCCCAAATACACATCAGACGAACTACATGTATATGAACTTAAACTGAAACAGGCAAATCCTATCTAAATTTGTTCTAAATGTTTACATGTGGATTTTGAAATAAAATTCTTCTTCTTCTTATCTAAATTGAAAAAGATATCAAAATGTACTGTCATATCACATTTTTAAAAAAAAAATTAAAAAGGAATTTTAAACCTGTAAATAAATAAAAGTAACTTTAAACTTGAAAGTCTTAACAAAATAAACAGTTAAAAAATGTAGTGCATTTATTACACTTTTCCTTTACATAAAAAAATTCCAAAACTCCAAACCAAGGTTGGATATTCTGGTAAGCATGGTTCACATTAGATATAAATCGAAAGTAAAAAATTAACATAATACATTATTACATAATTATTTTTAAATGTTCTGTAACAAGTTTTAAAAATATTATTAATAGCATTTCTTATTCCATCAGTTATATTCAAATTATTCATGCACATTAACTTGAAAATTAAACTTAAAACTGAAACATTTGTATATTGCCTAATTTGCCTAATGTGTCTAGGTAGTATGACACAATCACTGCGGGTGGGTTGTTGCTGTTTGATACTTTGAGACATAAAATGCGCCGACTGTACCCGTCGATCGCTCAGTGGAAGCAGAATCCATATGACTTTATCTTGTCGTAGTCATTTACATGCCACGCAAAGTAGAGACCTTTCGAGACTATTTTCGCCGAGATAATCAGTATGCACTGGTTCATTAGTTCCTTCGGGATCGATTTCTTGCATTAGCCTCATTACAGAATTTCTAGAAACAACAAACTGGAAGTCACACACATTAGGTATTCCTTTAGATTCTACAATAGTGCGGTCCTTAAATTCGTACTCAGGTGCAATGTGTTTTGCGTCGGGACATTATTGTTAGCTTTCAGTATAAATGGTCGCACTGAGTTTAGTATTATGCCCAATTTAATTGTAGTTGAAAGTTATACACATAACAAGCATTATCTAACATTCATAAGTATCATGAAGGTAAACAGTTCAAATTAAAAAGGTAAAGTTATTGATCAAATTTCTTCAGTACTCATCAAGCTATTCTACATACAATAATATGTAATTATAGTCAATTTCCAAATACGCCCACATTAACACTAAATTTCATAAAAATGTTGAAATGTATTCAAAAGTAAAATACTGCAAAGTAAACAAGGATATGTAATTTCCACATTACACAATTTTAAAGGCACTTATAATCCATATATTGTCGATTCAAATATGATCGAGAATGGGTTTAGCTTAAATTTAAAAGTACACAGAGTTGGCAGGAAAAAGCCATATACAAAAACACATCACCAGAAAAAAATAGGTGAAGGATCATTATATTATATAACCTGTAAGAGAAGTGATTATGTTGCTTGTTTTGCATACGAAAGGTCGTAAGTTCAAGTCCCACAACGGGTAATACTTTTATTATGCCTTCAAATTTTATTATTCTTTTTTTTATTATTTTTTTATTTTATTGATGTATTTTTTATTACTTATTTATCATCATTATTTTTATATATATTTTTCAATGTATTTATTTTACGAGAGTGCTAAAGCGTTACAATAAGAAACTATTCAATTCAATTCAGAAATTTTAAAAAAGTCTTAAACCTCTGTGGCGCTCACAAAATCTCAGTTGAATTGCATTAAACACGAGATGTGTAATCTAAATGCATGACACAACCATGAAGTACCCGTGCTTTGAAAAAAGGAGATATCAATTTAAGAAAAATGGAAGTGCTGGGATTATAAGCCGCACAGGTATTATTGAAAGACAAGCGCGAAATCATTACACTACGATGTCTCACTGCAAAGACTACAGGTCAATTAGTATGACCATGCTATCCATATGCACACGACTTACCTTTTTTGAAGTGCACTGATCTATGTTATATTTACAACGGTTCCAAAATAAATAATTTTTGACAGTAAATCAGCCATACTCAAAATATGCAACAAATAGCCCTTACTTCGTTACACAAGTAGTAGAAATATGGTGTTAAATTCAGCAAAACAGTCATTAATTGCACATGACATATAAATTATTACCTAACCTTTTACTCCATGAGCATATTGCGAAAAATGACCGTTTTCATTGAAAAGCCTCCTGTAACAAGTTCAAACTGCTATGGAACAATGAAAAATGCTTCAATACTGATGAAACTTGGCACAAATGTTAACTAGACCATAGCCTCTGTAACAGCATGCTCAATCGTAAATTTCCTGTTACCATGGCAAAGGAAGGACGTCTCAAAATTGCCAAAAATCACTATTTTGCATTGTTTTTTTTTTTACAAAACTGATTGCAATACGCTGCATCTTCTCAAGTAAAAGGCTTCTCAGCGTCGGTTACTTGTTACCCTGATATTGACCTGAGGCCATTTTAGCCTGTCACATGTCTACAATTTTCTAGGCGATGAGGGGGACTACCGCCCCCTTCAAACTCCCCAAACAGAAGGGGGCACATCCCCCTTCTGGCAACCCTTTAGTGTACCATTTGATGGGGAGCGGCGCCGAAAAAGTTTTCTCATAAGAAAAACAGTGTTAGGGGCCTAAATAGGGCATTTTTCACTGTTTGAGGCCTCAAAAAGGGGGAAACGAAAAGCTGTAAAAACATGCTATATGAGGGAAAAGGTTAAATCTTGAATCTTTTTACTTTTTTTCAAACTCTTTGGACTTTTTTTAAAGGTTGATTTTATTGATATAACTGTATTCATATAAGGTAAAGTCGACAATTTATGAATGTTGTTAAAAATGATAAAGAATAACAGTCGGCAGTATATCATATTTGCCTTTATAAAGAAAAATCCCAGTAACAAAGAAATATTGTTTTCATGTCTTTTTTCCCATTTTGTTTCAACGTTTCTTAATAAATTTGAATTGTGTTTAAAGTAAAGCCTTACACTATCTCCTTATCGTTCTTTTGTTTTTTCTCGCGTGCGTGTTAAGTCCTACTTTATATTACTTGTAACGAAGATAAAATAGAATAAATAACAATTTTAGAAACATATTTTCCTTCTGTCGGTTTCGTATTTAACATTTAAATAGTACATTATTAAATAGTTCATTCTATACAAAGACGCTAATATGGCCGGACTTATGATCTTTGCTTCTGTTTTCATACTTGCTAGTCTTGTACATTTGTCGGTGGCAACTGAAGAAATGTGCTCAAAATTTTGGTATGAAAAAGAAATTATTACAAACATGCTTAAAATGGAACTCAAAGTTGAAAAAATGGAACAAGAAGTCATGAAAAGAAACGAAGATATTGTAACAATGTTTGACGACAAAATAGCAGAAGTTGAAGATGCATTGAAAATAATTAGCGGAAAAGTTGATGATGTATTAGAAGGTAAATACATATAATATGTTTATAATTATGAATCTTAACAAAGGTAAAGATAAAAGCATATAATATGTTTAATTATGAAGCATAAAAAAGTTATAACATCACTATATAAATATATTATGAATCATCTTCTCGTAATGTCAACACTACACACAATTTTTATATCTGAATGTACAACATTAGATGAGCGGAAATTCGTAACTTATGTCAGGAAAGTTTCAATGTATATCAATTAATAATAACTGTAATCGGAGAAAACTTTTTGAAAAAAAAAAAAGAAATAAAAAAGAAGGGAAAATTACACTGCCTTGATATATGTTAAATTTATGTCTGTGATTGACAGTCAATAGTAAGTGACATTGACCTCTATTGTATGTGATATTGTTATCAACAAACATCCTTTGCTTATTGTGGTGCTAAATTTATAAGGCCGTCTATTATTTGAAACCAATCCTGTTTTTAAAACCTTTTTGTTTTGTTTTCAGAAGCTGCTGAAAGAGGGCTGGCAAAGCCCACCATTGCATTTTCAACATATGTAAAGACGTCGAAGTTACATATACCTCAAAACCAAATAATTGTCTTCAGTTCCATATTAAGCAATGTAGGGAACGGATATAACAGTGCGTCTGGTAAATTTGTCGCCCCTGTCGCCGGCTATTATCTACTGTCTTGCAGTCTCTTATCTCGGTCTGGCGAAGAGTTTTGGGCTAGTATTGAAGTAAACAACTCCAAGAAAGCACATCTGTATGAAAGGGGGGCAGATTCAAGGTATGGAATGGCGAGTCAAACAATCGTTGTCGAGTTGAAAGCAAATGATGTAGTATCTGTTAAGACACAAAACAACGCAATTAATATTTACGGGAACGGATATTCTACTTTTAATGGGGTTTTAATCCGTTAATATCGTAATTAGTTATTAATATCTCATTAATCTTACCGAACTATTATGTTTGCCTGCTTAAGTGTATTTTGTTTTAGTAAATCATATTAATTGAGAGACTTAACAACATACTGCATATTTGATTTTTACAAGGAAAAGTTAGGAAAAGTTAACATTGTGACGAAAACGCAACAAATATATTTTTCCATTTGTTAATTGATTAAGCAATGCCATAACTATAAATAGCGTATTTAATAATAATGTATTTTCTTTCATTTATTCAAAATATGCAATCAAAACGTTATCAAAATAGAATATCAATTTTTACTTTGATATTCTTAATATTCTGTTACTAGTTATTCTTATAAAGGGCATTTTCCTTGCCCAAAATTAAAATATTCAATGTCCTGATGTCTTTGAAAAATAAGAAAAAAATGTTAAAACTATCAAAATATGTTATGGTAGATTTTGAAATACAAAAACTCTTGAAATTATAGCTACTAAATAAAAGCGTATTATAATAATCTTTGTTTTATATTATTATTAATAGTATTGCTTGTCTTGCCATACTTCATATGAATATGTTTGTAGAATGCCAAAGAAAATTGTTTTTTCCCCTGATTTTGTCAATACACTTGAAAGTTGGACTAAACCATTACGATATGTGTGCTTTTGTGTGACTGTGAGCACTTAATTGATATTTATATCATATATTATACAATATTGCTAGGTGAAATGCAACCGTACGCATTTGCACGTTCTTAATTTTTTGCGACGGATCCAAGCTTTGTCATCTACACATGGGATTCGAACAGTGGCGCTCCAATCGAATAACAAATAGTGCAAAATTTAATCATATAATGTCGAAATATGTTGAAAGCGTTTATGTTCCAGTTTAGTTGTAAAGACCGTTAGTTTTGTGACTGAAAAAATAAACAAATGAATATCATATGTACGGAAAAACGTCGTAATAATTGCACTACTTTGTCCTACTTCGTCCCATCCGAAGGTCAGCCAAACACGTTTTTTTAATGAATGAAAGCCATAAGCAAAAATGTATAAAATTATATATAAAATCAAAGTAACATTTTAATATAGAGCACTCATTGCAGTAAAATCACAAGAAAAATCTTTTATGTTGAAAATATGTGCTAAAATATCTTTTTGTCATGACTGAAATGATTTCCAAAATAACGAGTAGCGTAGAATAACGTAGAAACACTATTTTTTATCAATGAGATTGTAGTTTCTGGCCATGTTTATCGATGATCAGACCAAGCATCTTAACTGCAGTATTTTCATGTAAAATGTATTTAGATATTTGATATATGATTCAATTTCTCTCATTTGCAAAAAAGTGAAAATTATACAGTTTTGCAACATAACATAAATTGTGGAAAAAAAACCTGAAAGAGAACTATGTATCAGTAATGTAAGACAAAACAATCGTAGTACATTATCCTAAGATTTGGTTTCAAAGACATTTTTTTCACGAGTAGCACAATTCTTTACAACATGCATTTACCATTTATTCAGCGAACAAATAACAATAAAATTACGACCCATTTGATTTAAATATTATTTCAAACCTTTGAATAACATTAAGAAACATTATTAGCGAAAGAAAAAAGCATGGACACAAATCTGCTTCATCGTGAATTCTGTTAAACTGGCCTTCGATCTATATTCTAGACAAATTCGATCTGTACTCGTTGTTAACTAATGTATTTATATAATTATGTACTGGTGACTATAAGACAAAGATATGTCTCAAACTGAACATTTAGATAAAGAAATGAAATTGAATTGACCATTTATTTATGTGATTTCTTCTCTCTGTGCGTGTACGCCGCTGAGATGGCACGGGGCATCGGCAGAAGATTTGCTGCTTGACGGGATTGCTACTTTGTCAACAACTGGGGACCAATTGCCAATGTCCGGACTAAAACCAAGAGGAGTTGCCTTGCGATGTAGGCAGAGACGACGAGGATGGTAGCTTGCGTGAGCCCCTAGCACAGAAAGACGGCTTGTAAGGCAGGCCCTTTGCTTGGCACCAACAGCCCTAATAAGGGTTACATCCTTTCATTTTGTCTCAGGTTACTGTAGAATTCGGTTCTCATTGACCGCCGTACAGTGGCCTACTTTTGGCTAAAAATTTACATCTGGCTAATACTCTGTGGAAATTGCATGGAGTTAAATTATCACAACTTTGTGCTTCAAAATTAACTCTTGAAGGCCATGGCTGGTGACATGTCCTAAGTCCGTACTCGGCAGCGAAAGCTGTTTTGGTGCCTAAATGGGCGGATGGACCATCATTAAACACAGACTATATTTATGTGATTTTTCCATATTTAAAAGACTGATGTTATAATAACCGGCACGGATTCACTCGGGGGTTCAAGGGATTGAAGCCCCCCAGATACCCTGGCATGATTTTTGTCTATCAAAATAGCAAATTGAGAGTAAAAATATAAGCTTAATCTAAGATCTTGTTTATTGGAACCAGGACCCCAGCTGATCTTCCTGTCATAAAATTATTTCAGTCCAATTTGCAATTTGTCGACATAATTAGAACGAATAAGACTTAGCCTATTCATACATGCAGACACTACATACATGTAGATAACCTTGGTCAGCGTAAAAGCAGTTTAAGCGTCTATAATTTTATAAGACTGAGAAAAGAGACACTTACTCTTATTACATCTAAATCCATGTATTTGTAAATTATAAATAGCCCTCTTGAATGTGATATATATTCATCTAATTTTTTACTCTTTAATCTACATGCCAAATATGTCATGTCATTGTATTGTAACTGTCTTTACATGTATGTATATGTATTTTTTGGTAATAAAATATGTTTAAATCAAAATCTCCATAAATACTGAAGCGCAAGGGATGCAAATTTTAATTAAAAAGCTTTTTTCCTACTAAGACTTATGGGATATTTTTATGTCATACATTATCAGTTTTTTTTACTGCCTATAGTAGAACCATTTAGGGGCATCTTACCCTCTGGAAAATATCTTTTAAAATCATAGTTTTCCCTAGATTTAGTAATTTCCTCCACTTTTGCAAAAATAAAATGTTATTCTGATATTCTTATATTTTTGTTATTTGCTTTTTCGAAATCAATTTGTTTCTCTTTTTCCTGTATACTTACATGTATATATTAGCAATAGAATATGACTAGAACCTATCGTTCATTGCATAGAACGTACATTCTAGCCCTATTGAAATATTTTCTATATAAACAAAGAAGGCCCGAAGCGTGCATCAATGCACTCGCCGTTCTTATTACATTTTATCACATAAACCGCGGCGCAGGAGTGTAATAAAGCCATTTAATAAAAACGATATTACACAAGACGATATTACACTAGTGTAATAACACTTTGACGTCACGTCATTTGCACTATAAACATAGCGTTAAAACGCGCTAATGTTAGCGTTACACTATAGGCGCGTCAAAGAAAAATGACTCTTGTTAACCGTTTACCGTTTTTATTTTATATATGTGATAAATAGAATATTATATTCGTGTAGATTCAATACTAAATTTATTGAACTCGTTGAATAAAACAATATTATTCAATTCGTTCAATAAATTTAGTATTAAACCTACACTCATTCAATATCCTCTATGTATCTCCCTGTGTATTTTCACATTAAGGGCGCCATTTTGTTTGAAAAATCTGATAAATATTTTTTTTGTCGAATTTTGTTGTGAAAACTATCTAGAATGAAAGAAAATGGTTTAACTAAGAAAATGAATCCGAACACCAATATCTTTAATTCAGTCGTTAACGCTATACAGACGTTTAAAGTGTTGTTTACCTGACGTCACAATGTAGCGCCAAACAGCACGTGCAAAACAATCAAATTAAGTACGCTATTTTAATGTCGCAAACGAGTTTAAATTTCATATTTATTTCACTTTTAATAATTTGTATTTCGCTTGAAAAATTATAGAGTGAAAATAAAATGAACAAACAAAGTTTTATCAACGTTTTCAAAATTCGTTATTCTCAAAATGTTTCTACACACGGTAGATTTAACGACAGATTTTTTCAACCCACTGGAACAGCTTTTAAAGAACGTTTCTATTGGAAACTCTGAGGCGAAAACAAATTTAACCACCAAACATAAAGTCCAACTTTATAATAATAATTATATTTTTTCTTGACGTGTTAGAATGGAAATAGATATTAATTTTTGTGCATTAAGTATAGGTTAGAGTGCATATTGGGTGTTCTTCGTAAATAAGAAAGCTAAAAAGGAGCGGAGCTTGCGAAGCGACTGTAGCTTTCTTATTTACGAAGAACATCCAATATGCACTCTAACCGGCTTAGTGCTCCGCCCACTTGCGTTTTATAATATAAAACATCCAGTTTAAATAAAATCTGTTCTATTAAGATTTGTAACCTGAAAATTTGAAAAATCCTCGTCGGTGATTGACTTAAAAAAATTGGCGAGCATTTAGTATAGGTTAGAGTGCATATTGGGTGTTCTTCGTAAATAAGAAAGCTAAAAAGGAGCGGAGCTTGCGAAGCGACTGTAGCTTTCTTATTTACGAAGAACATCCAATATGCACTCTAACCGGCTTAGTGCTCCGCCCACTTGCGTTTTATAATATAAAACGTCCAGTTTATATAAAATCTGTTCTATTAAGATTTGTAACCTGAAAATTTGAAAAATCCTCGTCGGTGATTGGCTTAAAACAATTGGCGAGCACTAAGTATTCAGTGATGGATTGCACTGATATAACAGTTTTATAACGATATGCTCAATTCTGTTGTTAAATTTGAAAACTTTAGAATTGAACTATTGAAGAAGTTTGTCTCCAGAATCATGCTTATTTTCATGAAAATTTTGAAAATGTGTTTAATACTAAAATATTGTGATGTAAACAAATGAAAGTAATTATACACATCACAAGATTTTAACGGCACTAATAATCCATGTAAATGACCAATATGAGTCAACATAAGCAAAAATAGCCCTTACTGCGTTAATAACGTAGAACAAATATTGTGATAAATACTTCAAAATAAGTCATTTATCGCACATAACATGTTAATTAATATTTATTTTTACTTTTCTTAAAATCTTCTAAGGTAAAGTCAACAACTTCTGAATGTTGTTCAAAATGATAAAGAATAACAGTCAATAACATTTTACATTTATTATTGCCTTTAAAAAGAAATATACCAGTAGCAAGAAGGAAGTTTTCACGTTTTTTTACCAATTTTGTTTCAACGCTTCTGAATCAAAGTGAAGCCTTATGATATCTTTTCGTCGTTCTTTTGTTTTTTTCTTACGTGTTAACTCCTACTTTATATTAGTTGTAACAAAGGTAGAATAGAACAAATAACAATTTCAAAAAAATTATTTTCCTTCTGTCGGTTTCATATTTAACATTTAACTAGAACATTGCTTGTAAAGAGAAGAAATAGTTCATTCTATACAAAGACGCTAAAATGGTCGGACTTATGATCTTTGCTTCTGTTTTCATAGCTGCTAGTATGGTACATTTGTCGGTGGCAACTGAAGAAATGTGCTCAAAATTTTCGTATGAAAAGGAAATTATTGCAAACATGCTTAAAATGGAACTCAAAGTTGAAGAAATGAAGCAAGATGTCAAGAAAAGAAACGAAGATATTGTTACAATGCTTGAAGCTCAGAGAAAGGAAATGGAAAAGTTTGCAAACGACTACAAAAATCTTCGAGATATTCTTGTAGTTGTGATGGAAAACAAAACGGCGACAGTTAACTCTTTTCTGGAGGATAAAGCGGTAAACGTGTTAGGCGACAAGATTTTAGAAGTTGATGATGCGTTGAAAATAATGACCGGAAAGGTTGATGATGTATTAAAGGGTAATTACATTTACTATTCAATAATGAAGCTAAACTAAAGTAATTACAGCACAATGTAACGATATTAGGAGTCCTCTTCTCGTAATGTAAACGATACATTTCTGAATTAACAACATAAGATGAAACGGAATTCCGTAACTAATGTAAGGGAACTGTCAATGTATATCAATTAATAATAACTGTAATCGGAGGAAACTTAAATGACTCTACATATGTTTATTATTTATATTATCGGCAGTAAAAAGCAAAAACATTGACCTCGATTGTATCAACAAACAACCTCGCTAAGTGTGGCGCTAATTGTATTTAGCCGTCTATTGTTTGAAACCAAACTTGTTTAATAAAACCTTTTATTCTTTTCAGAAGCTGCTGAAACAGGATTGACAAAGCCAATCGTTGCATTTTCAGCGCATGTAGGGCCGACGAAACTGCATATACCTCAAAACCAAATCATTGTCTTCAGTTCCATTATAACCAATGTAGGGAACGGATATAACAGTGCATCTGGTAAATTTGTAGCCCCTATCGACGGCTATTATTTATTGTCTTGTAGTCTCCTGTCTTGGTTAGGCGAAGAGTTTTGGGCTAGTATTGATGTTAACGACTCCAAGAAAGCACATCTGAATGAAAAGGGCGCTGATTCAAGGCATGGAATGGCGAGTCAAACAATCGTGGTCGGATTGAAAGCAAATGATGTTGTATCTGTTAAGAAACATGGCAACACAGTTAACATTCACGGTGGCGGATATTCTACTTTTAGTGGAGTTTTAATTCGTTAAGATCGTACTTTGAGTCTTTTTTAATACTCAGATAGTAAATATTTAATTAATCATACCAAAATGTCATATTTGTCTCGTTAAATGTATCTTGTTTTAGTTAATAATTTTATTATATAAGTTGAGAGACCTAACATACAATATATTTAATTGCAAATCAAAGATATGAAAATACACATGTAGTTTTTTTGTAACATAAACGCAACTAATGTCATTTTTAAGTTATCCTCTTCCAAAATGTCTAGTGACATTGTTTCCTTTTGTATATAATGTGAATTCAATAATTCATTTGATGACCTCGTTGCCTTCAGTTAATAATGCCATAACAACACAAATAACAGATGTATTTTTTCTTTTGCTACAAAGGTAATGATTGTGTTCCTTTTAATACTTTCATTTGTCCCAAATGCATCTACCCTGCACCAGCCACCTTATTAACATTTTCATTGGGTTTGTTACTTGTGACAAAATCCAAATGAATTATACCGAATGATTAAATCAGCCTTTTGAATTTGCAAATTAAATAAAATTTACGCGGCATCATGAATTCGCGACGCGGCCGATTCGCGAATAATAGCGAAAATTAAAACATCGCGAAAAATACCGGATTTACAGTATTATTTTGTGATTTGTTACAATTATATTGTCTTGTTCACATGTAACAGAGATTTATAATAGATGTATTATAGATGCATTAAACTTTATTTAAGTATATACTCCCAGCTTATGTCTTATGTAAATCTGATTATGTTTCTAATATATATGCCCCATTTTCTGTTGTTAAGTGGGTTATTATCACGCCAATACTGTAATGCTCAATGGTGACTTTCCAGTTCGCTAGTGAAACAAGACCTGATGCGCTCGTGCATTATTTCAAGCACAAGCGGTCACCTGATTATAGAACCATCGATGTTCAGTTAGCTAGTTTGATAGCTTCAACGAAAGTCGATGTAAAGGGCACGAAATGACAAAAGGTCAATTTTACTTTTATATACAAGTAGTACTTTTAGAAATAGACAATAGGTTTCACAAGCTCACATTTGTCGACTTACGAGCGTAAACACAACTTTTGAATAACTTACACAAGTATATAAAAAGATTTACCCTACAAAAATGTTGTCTGCCAATAGAATGTTGACACAATACAAAGTGGCTAAAGAAGAATCTGACGCTAAAGAAGCATTTAGTGATAGTCTACCTGAACTGTAGTTTAATTTATTTATCTCCCTTGTTAAAAAATATTATATAAAAGTGTACTAAATGTCCGTCTTTACAGTACTCCAAATACAAGAATTGCCGATCATAAAAGAAATTTGATGAGAATATTTTATAGATCAGAACAAATGTCCCGAGGTTATCGCTATGTTCTAAGAAAAGCAGAGTTTGCCATCATTGGTCTCATGCTGTGTCACATGAGAGGTCTCACGTGCTTAAGAAGAGCACTTATTCAATCATAAACTATGGAGATAGAGTTCAATGTTTTTCTACAAAGAAACTTGTGTTTTTAAAATAAAAGACACAAAATATTTTTTGAAAAAAAAAAAAAAAATGAAAATCAGACACATTGAAATACTAAAAAACTACATAAAATGATTCTTCTGTTATCATATTCTGAGACCATGAAAAGCTTAAATCAATTTTATTATGTAGTTTTATATATTACTTTAGCATACGCCTTTAAACAAGTAATTTTTCTGGGTGTATGATGGCCTTATATAGGTTTCTTCAGAATATAATATACATATGATATCTCTAGAGAGTAACAATTTCTCTATAAAGACAAAAAGGGCCAAATAGCAAAACCCATTGTCGGATACCCACGGTTGATTAACATATAACATAGATGTTAATGGTTAGGCCGTCGGTATCCTACGATGAACAAAACCAAGATGCTCCCTATACATATTCAGTATGATTCACAAGATTAAGTTCTTAAATACATGTACTTAACTGTTGAAATAAGAACACGATTTGACTATTGGGTAAACCACATAAACGTTTTAAATTATTTTACAATTTCATGTTTTAAATGAATCTGTCATTCGAATCGTCAATGTAAAACTGTCGCTTTCTTATCATGACAAAATCGGTTACATCAATTTGTGAATTGGTATACAATTGGGACTTTTCCGTAAGTGTTTCAAATGTTGATAAATTCTATAGAAATGTATCATTTACATATTCTTGTAAGACAAAATGTTGATAAAGTTTTAAGTGATTAAGTATGAACATTTTATTGTCTGCTAAATAAATGTATGTAATATCGGTTCATGTAAGTATAATTATAGCATGGTTTGTTGTTATGTGTGCTACTTAATACTATCAACGTTATTCCTCTATTGTATTAAAGACCTTACATTATAGGCCAATTCACTTTAATACAAACAATTGTGATGAAATGATATTCTCTGCCAAACTTGATCTTTTACTTTTTTTAATAAACAGTTTTTATGACCGTGTAGACTAGAAACACAACAAAAGTGTAAAGATATATACAAAGCAGATACATAACAATTATTTAAGATATGGTTCAATATGAGGTTAAGTCAAAAATAGAAACATCTACATTTAATCCCGTTCTTCCTAAATCATTCACCAGGGCAGACATTCATTCGCATTTAATAATTATAACTCTATGAAAGAGCCTTAGTAAACAATTTTATATTAACAAACTAACAAAACTATTAATACTCGTACCTAAACGAATAAAGCACTGTACAAAAACATTCTGATGTACCATGTCTTATTTGATACCAATACTGAATGAAAAATATTGTATTGTGAACATATCCTTTCCTTTGTCATTGAGCAATGTAGTGAACAATACAAAGAACATGAGAAGAGCATAAGACATCTCCATTGCAATTCCTTAAAGGCCCATTTGGCTCAGAGTGAAATGTTTCAAAAGCTTTTAATTTAAGTGTATTTTATAGTATCCAAGAAGTTACTTATTGGCCAAATACCTGAAGTATCTTTTTATCTGTTGCCTTTTGATAAAACATACAGTTATAGTGAATAAGTATTTTGTGCGGAAGTCAAAATACTGCAATTATTTCAAATTTATCACTACTTTATTCAGGTAACAAGCATCTAAAAGCCTAAAATCATTATTTAAACGCTCTATACAATTCATATTTGCCCTTTCTAAAGAAGTAGAATTTATTGAATTTCTCTGGGGTATAATGTGCTTTTAAAATACGCGTTGATTTGCGTTGGTTTTTTGTTGTTATAAAAAGCTTCTATATCAAACATTTGTCATTTTTACCAACACTATTTTAAAGAAAATGAAGTTTCACGATGCGGTTAAAACTACAAACAATATAAATGGAGATACGATTTTTTGGCCGTATAATGTGTCATCTTATTCATTTGTACCTGTTTATTTTCTTCCTTGCTATTTTTGCCCATAATGTATACGTAAGTAGGTGAACTTAAGGCTTTATAATAATTCATAATTTTAACATGACTTGTATTTTGTCGATATACACAAAGAAAATAACCAGTGAAAACAATTGTCACCTGATATTACTTGGGCTGCTATGTCAAAATAATATAACAAAAAAAAAAAGCTATTTGTACACGGTCAAATCACCTGACGAATTCATAATGAAATTATTTTTACATCATGAAAATCAATTTTCGACAAACGTGTATATAAATTTAAGTTTTAATTTAACTATAATTGTCCAATGAAAATTTAATGCAAATCAACATTAATGTTCGAAAGGAATATATTTATACTGACACACAAATGAACGTTTTTCTATACACAATCACATAGAATATTATGGTATAATTTCACGATGTTAGAAATATGTTAAGTACATATATACGTATATAACTGCCTATGTGAAATTATCCGTCCTGCCACACTCATGTTTAGCAATGGATTGTCAACACGTTATATATTTTTCAGTCTTTGATAGTGATAATTCTCAACTTCTGAGCTGCAGGTAAAAAAATATTCCCTTTCTTTTTCATAGTGCTAAAACTTCCATCATTTCTGACAAAAAATGAGAATCATTCATAAAGATAATATCTTTCTTACCGCACGCTATATTCTTATCTTCATTGTTGACAGCAGAACATTCTTTCAATACAAGTAATGTTCATCCAACATGTGAATGGTTGATTATTTATTACTTCTTAATTTAATATGTTCTTATTGGCATTAAAGCTTCATTCAAGAAGATCAGCTAGGCTACTATGTCTTTCAGTTAACATAGAAAGTGTGTGTTAGATGCATGCTTTTGTCACGGTCATGCTTTTTTTCATTTACATATATTGATACTTACACGTGGTTGCCATTAGAAACTTTTAATGGTGTTTCTTGTTTGGCTTAAACTCTGGTACATGTAAAAACCCATTTAAGACCCGCACATGCCTTTCACTAGGGAATTATTCGCTGCTTTTCAATGAATGGCATGAACGAGTCGCAGTGAACGTTCCTTGATCACCACCGTACAAACATATTCGCTGAATTCTGCTTAAGTTGGTACTTAGTTTGCATTTAATACTGCCGTCAATGAATAGGATTTATCCAAATCGAACCTGCAGCATGTTCAGTTGTTTTTTTTTTCTTCTTTCATTTTCCCATTTGTTTTTATAAAAAATTTGTGTATTTTCTTGTTGCATGTGATATGATATATTAAAGTAATGAATATTGTAGAAACTTACTAAAAATGTGCAGACATACGATATCTATTAATTTACTCCTAAAATTATGTTAATCAAAACCATTTCGCAGACCGTAAATTAGACTGATTCTTTGACATGACAATGAAAACAAATATATACATTCAAGCAGGAGAAGATTTAGTTTACTTGTCGACATGAAGAACATGCGATTTCATATTTTTTTACATTATAAACAGTATTTAAAGCAAGCAAGTGCATTCAGTTGTTTTAAAGTTTAGTACATTTGTGGCAGACATGCATTTATTATATCAAATTATTCTGTAAATTTAACCTTGTTTTGCATACATTTATTGTTTACTATTATTCTCTTGTTTACAGTATTGTATTGTACTTCTCTTTCTAATCGAAGTGTAACTCTTAACTCACTGAAATGAATGAACATTTCATGATCTTACCTCTGAAGGGTATACATACCCTATTTGTCTGATAGGGTTTATTTTTTTGCAGCTTTTACCTAGTCAACGAGCTGAGCCTAATATTGCCAATGAAAATATGTAACCACTTCCTTTCTTTTATTTCTATAAGTATTATAATATCATAATAATATAATTATCAATGTTATTCAAAGTGTTAAATATTCATTGTCTGAATTGAAACCTTAGAGTTATAAATAACCTGGGTCTGTAAGGTTAGAAAACCTGCTGCACATTTATCAGCCTTCAAAAGTTATACAGACGATTCAATGGCAAACAATACTAAGCCAGTTAATATAAACTAGAATGCAAATAAGGAAAACAGTACCTTTTTGGACCTGCATGACAAAAACGAATTGCCAGCATCTTTACGGTCAAAATATTTGTATGGTGTCCAGTAATGTTTAATGAACTTGAAGTAAAACATGGACCACTTGTTGATGCATATAAAACTAGAAGTTAATTAACTGCAAGAGAAGTGGCGGATATCCCATTTGATCTCTATTACACTGGATATTATAGTTTGTCATTTATTTTATTTTTGAGAAAAAAAAATATAATGCAGACAATAAATATTCGAATCTTAACCTTTAAGGGCAATCT